TAATTATGATTATAATTGTACCAATCTATTGATTTGGATCTTATAAGATAGATCAAATAGGACATGAAAACAATTAAAAACACCACAACATTGTAGTATACCATGGATATTTTCAAACCTAAGTTTTACTTTAAATAAATCTTATTTTTTTAGCCATTTTAAATATAAAGGAAAAATAATTTCGATTAAAGTGATAATAAATTACTTATAAAATTTCACACTTATTGAGTCATCATTGCCAAAAATTCTATCTATAGAATTATAAGTGTCTTTGGTTTCAAGTCTTCTCAATATAATGAAAAAAAAATTAGACATACTTATTAGTCGCCCTATAATATTAATTAGTCCATGTAGAAGATTCTTTATATACTAAATCACAAACATGTAAAATAGTTAAAACAAATAATCAAAAAAATTGACAAAAATCTTCCAAATCTTCTTACATCACTTATTTCACAAATTATTTTTACTTATAAATTGTATGTGGTTTGATATAATAAAGACCACACTTTGATCTAAATATATTATTCTTGTCAACCATATAAATAAATACTTCTTAAAATACTTATTCAAATTTCATAAGTAAATGAATGATAAAAAATTATAAAAAAATAAAAAATCAGCTTTTATTTTATATTTTAAAATTATCAAGGTTGATTCTCTTGGTATTTTGCTTGTTTGACTCTTTTCAAATATTTTATGAGTTGTCAATTATACCGTAGTTCCAATTGGTGATCTTACTACCTCTATAAGAGCAATTTCAAGTCTACTATTGGAATTATCTAAGTTGCATGACCTTCATAAAAAAATATAGTAATTAATTTTAAACTAAAAATAAATGTAAATTTTAAGAAAATCAATCATTAATATTATCAAAAAAATAAAATAAAAAATAGCCAATTAAAAAATTATACATAAAATATTATTTATTTCTTAGTAGTCATTTTCTTGATATAATAGAACATACTTAAAATGAGTAAGTCATAGATGATGACTCCAAATATTGCTTATTCAAAAAAAAATATATTAATTCTTTTCATGGCATCATTTAAATTAAAAAGAATATTTACATAACCTTGCTTCTTAGCAATAAAACTATTTATTGTCTTACATTCAAGTTTCATCATATCAAGATGGCACAATTCTTTTTATTACAATTTTTTATTTTTTTGTCTAAGTCTATAATTTCTTTGTGATAAATATTTTCATGATCATATCTGCTATAAATGGCTTTAAGAAATTCAAGCCTAGTCTTATCCATAGAAGTTGATGTATCATTTGAAGCCTTCATTGATAAGCAATATTTTTTGGTAGAATAATCAATAAATGATTCACTATTATCTATAATTCATAAAATATCATTATTAAGTATAAAAATATCAAAAAATATTTATATTTTATTTATAAAATAAATATAAAAATATCTCTATATAAAATATTCAAAAAATCAACTAAGAAGTTTTATAATATATTATTAAAAGGTGCTGTCATTCTATTGTCAAGGAGATAGCTTCAAGTATCGACAACTACAAAGTTTTAAGAAACCACTCCAATATTACTAAGTAGATAGTTTAATCTTGTGGTGCCTTTAGAAATCTTACATGATGGTTTTTCTGTACAAGGGATTCATAGAAAAATAACTCAACTAACTAAATGATATTTTTTTTTCATAGTCATGTAATTTCTTGAAGTTTGGTGATAATCACTCCTATTTATCTTGAATTTGTTATTAGATTCTATGCATATTCATTCTCTACAAACCATTTGCTATGACTTTCCACTACTTTGGTCCCATAGTCATTTGCACATATTGTAATTTGATTGGGTTATATTTCACAAAATCCACCTTCTTATAATAACACAACAATAAAGTCTCTACTAATAACAATCTCTTAATTTTGTAAACTCTACCAACTTTACCACTATGAGCTTTCTCTTATTCTATTTCAATCTCATCTTATGATTATATTTCAAGATTTACTAATTGAAAATTCTAAATGAGATCAATTAAAGATCTTTGAAAATCCATTTTTTACAAAAAAAAAAAAAAAAAAAAAAAAAAATTGCAATAAACATTTGAAGAATGTTAATCATTACAATCTTACACATGTTTTTTTTTTCTTTTTTTTTCTTTTTTCTTTTTTTTCCATCTCTTGACATGCTTAAATGGACCAACCAAATCACATTCCTAAACTTTTACTAATTGATTCTATGACTTGCACAACTGTCTTTTGCATATTCAATTAAAACAAAACCTTATTATGATTTCACTCTTCATTATTAAGTGTCATTTCCAAAATGATATCACACTTAAAGATTAGATAAGTTTTGCAAACATTACATACAGATAAAGTTTTTAAAATTTTATTCACAACAATTTTAAAAAACAAAAAATAAAAAAATCTTACTTAATAACTATAAGCTCAAGCACTATGTGACAAACATAAATATCTTAAAATATGTGAATTATATTAAAATATATAAAGAAAAATCCAAATTAACCTTATTTTTTTAGCTTAACCTTCACAAGTTCCAAATCTACAAGCTCCAAATTTCTCCACATCCACATCAAGCTTCTTCACCTCCAACCACACTTTCCAATGTTCAAAAGAAGTAAAAAGTGTTTAAATTTTTTTTCTTAAATAGGCAAGTGACATTTCATAGAAAGCCATAAAAAGACCTAATGACTTACTATTGCAAGTCAAAATTCTACCAATGCATTGGTGGAGTATTCAACCTACCATTTTTGCTTTGTGTAATTGGTTAAGGGCAAGTCACCAGCCCTATTACTAAAAGTGATGATGTATCAAAAATTGAGGAAGGATTTTAGACTCTGGCTTCAATTTTCCCCACCAATCATGCATGGAAGAAGGCCCTAAGTAGTACTAACTTGCCACCAAATTGATTGTCTTCCACCATTGTAATGGTATGAAATTGCATTGTCTTGGAGGCTGTTTGATAAAAGGAAGGGACTCAAAAGTTGCTATACAATCAAAAGTTGATTTCCTCAGCCGATGCTTGGGTTCCCTAAGTTCCCTCATACATTCCACGCCAAACTTTCTCAATCAGCAATTTCAATCCATGACTGGAATCTTCCTGAGTGAATTTGACACAACATAGGTAGTGACTGACAATTTCCTGGCATGTAGGCCAAATAATTACCAGACACCTTCATATAGTATTGTATTTTTTTTGTAATAAACTTCTGATCTGTATGCTCCCAAAAACAAATTAAACAAAAGTGAATTCAAACCATAGTCTGCAATTTTTTGGTGTACCCATTTTATGTTCAGATAACTGAAAACCCATTAGAGCCAATAAGATTCAAGGCCAATCTACAAACTATCTTCAAATTATCCAAAATCCTACAATGCTATTGATGGATGGTGAGGAGTTATCATCCCAGGCTGAGAAGTATGATTGAAGAACTCTCAATCAAGAGGACGGTACCATAGACACATCTTGGGATTCTACAGATTAGAGTACAGTAAAGACAAGTAGCAGCGAAGACAGAAGGAAAAGGAATACAAAAAAATAAAAGGAAGAAAGGAAAAAGAAAAGCTGAGTGTAGAATACGGGAGTGGAGACGAGAGTAGAGGCAGCAAGAGTAGAAGAGAAGTGATGACACGAGGAGCGGCGCAGGCTGGTCAAGAAGGGCCAAGAAGGGAAAAAGGACTATATCTCGTCATCCGCCACCATCGCTGAAGGCTGCCACCACTGATTGCTAATGGCCTTCCTCAGGCTCTCCTCGCTCACCACTTCCGCTTCCCCCTTTCCTCTTTCCCTTCCACTTTTCTCTGTTGCTTTAATGAGAAGAATGCCTCCTCATCGCTTGGAAAGGATAATGTCTATATTTCCTTGTAAAGCTACGCTGCGCAAAGTTGCCAGCTGGGCCTAGGTAGGGTCAAGGGTGCATCTTGTCCCCATCCCAAACCTCTCGTCCAAATTTTCTTTCCATTCCGAAACATTTCCCTCAGATGGGAGAAAATCCCAAACGAGGGAACACACAAAAGACAAACCCCTCTTGTTTTGGACTTGTCCTTAGTATCAACTTGGCCCTCAGGTTTTGATGGTGCTATCTGTGTATAAGGTGTCCATTTCTAGCCTATATATATTTATATGTGGGTCTTCTAGATATTTTAAGATGCAATCATTCATATATATATATATATATATATAGTCTGTGAATTGGTCGTCATTTCCATTGAATGAAAATTTCGGGAAAATGATTTTATTAATGAAAAACTAGTTATAAATTAATTCAGCAACAAGGAAATTACAACACTCGGTAAAATGTTGGTAAGTTAGAAGCTGTAACCAACAATATTTTACCACCTATTACACATGACGTCATATGAATCACTTGCCATATTAGAAAAGTACATATAACACTTAAAGGTGAAACAATATTTCAGAATTCCTTGACATGAATTATCCAACTACCAACATAAGTAAGCCATATTCAATCTTTGCACTTGAGTAATTATCTTCTTCTTCTTCTTGTAAAATTATCAGGTTAATTTAAGAAAAAAAATAAATAATAATAATAATAATAATAACAATAAACATGATAATTTATTTAACACTCACTAACCTTTCTATAATAACTCTTACTTGCAAGGAAATACAAGAGCTTCCATCAAAATCTTTATTGCTATGTATAATGAATTATCAAAACTAAATTTCTGAAGTAACATTAGTACAATGGTGCTGTCAATTAATTGAATGTGTTCGAAGTTATACATTTTGTATTTCCAATATTTATAAAAAAAACAGTGTCCCTATTGCAAACACTTGAATGTGTATCTACCCTTGTTGTGACAAATCACATTTTTCAGGTTGCTGATGTGAGGAAATTTATCTTCACTTAAAAATATTATTCCTTCTCCTTATATAAAAAACACAGATACGGAAAGTATGTATGCACACATGTACAGACACTCATACAGAGGGGAACAGAAATCCAGAATTTGTTGAAAAGATTATTGTTGGAATAAACATGTGAAACAGCATCCAATTGTTTATAAAATTTGGAACTCAAAGCCCAGCATTGTTACACTGCAGAACAAAAGGGAAAAGGTAGAGTGAAAACATCTTTTGAAGGGTCAAAGGATCCAACTACTTTCCTGTAGGGAGCACTGTTGATGAATCCAGGACAAAGGAATGTTAGACTGGCTCTGGCTCTCTCCTTCCTTCTTTCCTCGTCTCCCTTTATCGTCTCCCCCTCCTCCGCTGAGAATAGCTTCAAGTCGGGTAGCTCCAGCCCCCAAGGCGTCTAGGTTGCTAAAGTTGAGGCCCCTCTTCCAGCCTTACAGCATGCTGACACATAGTTTCCATCTCCCTGCCGTGCATGGACCATATGCGGTGCACCAGTGTGGATGATCTTGGTTACACATGGGTGGAACCCCAAGAGATGAGGAAAACTTGCATTAATAAACAAATAAAGAAATCGAAGAAGAAAGAGAGAAAGAAAAAGATAGATAAAAGAGGGAGAAAAGAAAGAAATGTTGACATTATGTGTACGAAGCATATTTAAGCAAATTTGCGGTAAAATATTTCCATATAACTTTCTACTAAAACCATATTACTATTTACAGTCGAACATAATTATTTCGATTCTCACCGATTACCAAGTCATATCACTTAACAAAAGTTGATCATAAGAATAAAAAGTAATGTAATATATTCATTCATCCATTCAACATTCATTCCAACATCAATTGTAAATTCATTCATTTTAATTAAGATGATAGGATGTTGAACACATCGTTAATTAGGAGATACTACGAAAAACCCTCTTTATAATTCAGTCTATGGATTCTATGGGTGCAGTGCTTGGAGTTGCATAAATCATTGACAGAAAACCTTCCACCAAAACTTGCTCTTGTTATCAATTTATTAAATTATTCATTTATTCATTTATTACATTGATTTTAAGAATGAATTGTCCCATAGATACATACACACACACACACATATATATATATATATATATATATATATATATATATCAAATTGAGTGTTTAAAAGAATTTGAAACTATACTTATCATGAACATAATTTCAGCCGGATAACGTGATCTTGCAAATCAACAAACATGTTGGCAGCTTCTGAATTATCGTTCTGATAATCATCACTTTTCTATTCATGAGACAAGTTTACTTTTTTAAGCTCGTTCATACCTCTGAAAAATTTCTGATCTTTCAATCATTCTGAATTTTGAAGTTCTCTTTGAGTTTTGTACCCATCATACTATTAACATAGACCAGTGAGCAATTAAAAAGTAGGAGACAATTTTTAATGTCTGCAATGTGTGGTTGAAAACTCGTCTTTAATACAAGTTAAGATCTGGGCAGTTATGGTTAGATATCACAAACAAATAGTTGAATAATTTTTTTAAGGTTCTGTGTGGCATGAGATAAGCAAAGATTTCAGGATGAAAATGATTTGGTCGCCTTGACCCTGGAGAGATTGATGCAAAGAATTTGAATTAGCTCTGCTGGAAGGATGATATTGATGGACTACATTCCAAAAGCAAGGATGGGTGAATAGTGTGGCAAACTGTTCTTTCTCCTACAATAACTCGTGCACACTGGGAAAGACTACCCACTCATTGATGCCAAGACAGCGAGAATTTTACAATTATGGGCGCCCTACCTCTCCATCCAGAGAGAAGTTGCAATGACAGTAACGTGGTACAACCTGCCAGCTTGAAGTAAAGAGAAAGTCTGTCTTGCTGAGTCCACACTGTAACACAAAGTGACTGTCATGAAATGGTTCTCAGTAGTGCGGAGAATGCCTTTGTTAGGATCCTTAAAACTCTGTGACCGCTTCTTTGGACATTCTTTGTACTGGTTGCCGTCTGCAATGACAGCCTTTGGCTCTTAGGGGAAAAAAATCAAAAGAAACAAATGAAGATCAAATTGTAGCCGGAGAGTGTAGCATTGTAGCCGGAATCACACTTTAATCAAGAGCGACTCGTGAATCCACATGTGCATGATCTCCAGACTGTAGTGCTGTCTTTATCAAGTCGTTTCCGGCGATCATGGGACCCCAATTTCGTTGAAAATGTCATCACTCTGGTTGCTTCCAAAAATGACCTGTTGCATGGATGGTTTGTCTCTCGTCAAGTCATGTATATCCTGTACATGTGACCCCTGCAGTGGCGCAATCAACTAATAACGGAATCACTAGTGGGTCTAGGGGGTTGCAATGATGGAGCTAAACAGATTGCGAGGCAAATTGCACCAGTGAGATAAATGACAATCGCCATTATGACTGTAGTTGTACGAGTATACTGCTGCTGGAATAGATTCTGTTTACCTTAAGGAAAAAGAAAACAAAAGAAAAGAAGGTGCGTATTCGTGTCGCATCCAGCACCGAGAAGCCTTTGGGGAACTTTGTGGTCACTTGCAACTGATTCCTTCGACTGATAGTCAGCTGCCGTATGCGACACACACTGCGGACCACGAGGAACAAGGCAGGAATATCTCGTAACGGGCAGCAACGGCATGGACTGATGCAGAGTCGTGTCGACATTGCAGTGGCTCCGTCAGCAACATGTATCATATGCGATCAATCAGCAGTCCAGGAAATGGCCAGTGCGCTCAGCGTTGGAATGTAGTCCATCAATATCAGATGTCACGATTCCTCAAATCCCCAAGCATCGGACTCCTTCCGGCAGTTCCGACCTTTGGCCCCTCTGAGTTGTTGGGATCACCAAGTAACTAGGATTCGGTCTGTATCTCCTGAATCTGCCTCTCAAGAGATATCAAGCGGTTGCTAGCCTTTGTGAATTATGCAGCTCCAGTTAATAATCTCCAGAGAGTTTCTGATTTTTGGAACGCCTACCTGCTGAATAGGTCGCAAGTCTGCATCCCAACTCGAAATTAGTATCAAGTTCCTGCACTTGCAGACATCCTATCTGTCAACAAACTCATGCTGATTGTTTGCGCTTCTGATGTATATCCAACTCTGCAGAACGTCAACGTCAAGTACATCTGTTTGAAGTTCATGGTACTGAACTTTACTGTAAGTAATCTTTAATATGAAAGATGATGTATAATTCCCTTGACAGTTGCCTCTATTAGATCTGCTGATTGCTTCTTTCGACTTACACACAAGTCAAACCCTTACTTTTACAACACTGATTGATTCTTACTTATACAAACCAGAAGCTTATCATGATAGCTATCTATTAAGTTGTAGCATGCAATAAGATTTAAGTTCTGCCCTTCTGATATCTGAGTTCTTTTGTTGTGATTGAGTCTGTTTTCTAATATTTGACGTATCACATTGTGAAATTGAGAAGCTTGTTTAACATTGTGATATTGAATGTTGGACGCACTTCTTATCTAATATTGTGAGGCTGAAATGTTTCTTGAACTTGTTTGATAAGTTGTAGTATACATTGTAGGCTATATGCACTTCTTATCTGATACTGTGATGTTGAAATGTTTCTTGAAGTTGTTTGATAAGTTGTAGTATGCATTGTAGGTTGCATGCACTTCTTATCTAGCATTGATGCTGAAATGTTTCTTAAAGTTGTTTGATAAGTTGTAGAAGCAACTTCTTATCTAGTATTGATGTTGAAATGTTTCTTGAAGTTGTTTGATAAGTTGTAGTATGCAACTTCTTATCTAGCATTGATGCTGAAATGTTTCTTGAAGTTGTTTAATAAGTTGTAGTATGCATTGTATGCTGTATATACTTCTTATTTGATATTCTGATATTGAAAAGTTGCTTGAATTTGTTTGATAAGTTTTAGAATGCATTGAATGTTATATTTCTGATTTTTTACATCATAAGATTAAAAAAGTTGTTTGATAAGTTATAGCATGTGTTAGTTGTTAATCTTCTAATTTTTATTACTTGGTCTATCACACTTTGAGATTAACAAGTTGCTTGACTTTATTCAATAATTTATAAAATTTATTAAATATTAAACTTTTTATTTCTATTATTTAATATATCACATTGTGAGACTGAGAAGCTTGTTGAATTGAAAATAAGTTGTGGCATATGTTATGTGCTTAACTTCTTATCTTTAATACATAATATATTACATTTGTGTAAGTGAAAAACATATTAAAATTATTTAACTTGTTTGTCTCTAATGCTTAATATATCACACTATAAAATTAAAAACTTTTTTGAACTTCTTTGATAAATTATATTTTTTAAATTTTAATATTTAATTTAATAGGTTATGAAATTAAAATACTTATTAAATAATTTTGATAAATTATTGTCTATTTTAAATGATAAAAATTTTATTTCTTATATTCTTTAATTCTTATGAAAATATTATTTTCAAATATATAAATTGAATTCATTACATAAGATACATGTAATATTTAATGTGTCATTAATAAAATTATTTAACAAAATATATATATATATATATATATATATATATAACTTGAATGTGGATTAGAAATTTTATTGAATTTATAAAAAATATTATATATTATAAGTAAGCTAAATAGTTTGTTATATTTATAAATATTATTGTATAATATAATATACTTGAAAAAATTATCAAACATATAAGAATAATAATGGTTTTTTAATATATATATATATATATATATATATATATATATAAAAGAATCATAATATAGTATAAAAAGATTGAAAAATTATTCTATTGAAAATCTTACTATTCATAATAAAGAAGTTGAGAAATCAATTATATTTACGAACATTGGTGCATGTTATAAGGAGGTTTTAAAATGTATTGGTTTCATAATTATGACTAAAAATTATACGTGGATTAATAAAAATAAAAATAAAAAATATTTTTCATCATCAAGATACATTGAACATAAATGTACATGTAATTTTAAAGAATCGTCTTAAATTTCTGATCATTTAATATTGTCACTAAATTAAAATATTTAGACCAGCTTTTATAATATTTGCATGCAATTTTCATTCTAAACCTACCACTCAATTAAGAAACTTTTGGCCATTTAGAAACTCTTTGCAACATTGAGGTATGCCTGTATAATTTCTAATTTTGCTTAAAACATTTTATTTTTTATTTTTTATAGAAATAAAAAGAAAATACCATTACAAATATTTTAATTTTTTGTGAGATGGTAGTAGTTGTTTATCTTGCAATAATAATATTCTACTACTTGTGATGATGATGTCATCAAAGTTAGAGATTTTGACATCAAATACATTGTTCCAATACATAATCTATATTATTATAACATATATATTTTTTTAAATTATTGTTACATTTAGTTTTTTTTTTTTTTTAAAATTATATCAAATTGTTTTTATATGGTAGTTCTTTCCTATGAACCTCACCACAAAAATATTTAATAAGTAGTAGTTATTTTAGTTAAAATAAAATTATTATTCAATTATTATGTTTGAAGAATCAAAACACATTTAATAAATACAACAAGAGAATTTGATGTTAAATCTTTGATATAATTTTTATAAGGGCAAGATCAAGATCTGTAATATATATATATATATATATATATATATATATATATATATTATAGTAGGAATAGAATGAATTACAATAATGTAAAAAAAATGTTGTCTATTGCTACATGTATTAAGTCTTCAATATAATAGTATTGGTCTATAAAAACAATTATGTGACAATTATAAGATCTCTTAAAAAAATCAATTATTTATAATCAACCATTTTTATCAAAATCTATTTATGTCAAAATATAATAGATTTAGCTCATATTAAGAGATTATTCTTAAAGTAATTATATTGTAATTAAGATTTCTTTGTAATAGATATTTTATTTATTTTTAAATCTACATTTTTTATGTTAAAATATATATAATTTTTTATATAATTATTTTTTCTTTAAAGTTCTTCTAGATTTTAAAACTAAATTTTATATTTTTGGATATCTTTGTTTTTACATCTTAAAATTAAATAAAATATTATATTAATTTCATGCATTATTTTTAATTCTAAAAGAATCCAAAAGCTTGTGTTAGAATATTTTTTTATTCTTAATAAAACTTTTTTTAATTAAAAGAATCATTCATACAAATTTCAATTTGAGAAAAAACTTTGTTTTTATCCTGCATAAAACCTTAAGTGCCTTCTTTGTTTACAATAGCATAGTAAAAAGAAAAAAGGAAAAAGAAATCAAATTATTTAAAAGTTTCTAAAATTTTTAATGAAAAAATAGAGCTAAATATTGATTAAATTCTAAATAATTTAGTATCCTATTCTATCTAACATTTGATAACAAACAAATACTTTCACTTAAATTCAAAAAATAATATTTCACATTGAAAGGCCATTATTCAAAGCAAGAGAGCTCCTATGAATCAATACAAACCACATTGTTTGATTTCAAATAATTTCAAATAATCAGTACCTAAATAACAGTCTGATACTTGAGGCACAAAAAGTAAAATAAATCCAATATCTACACTAGTTTAGATCCATATAACACATTGAGAAATTTTGTATATTTGGAAAGTGTTACTTATTTTCACCATGGTTTTAAAACTTTCCAAATATACAAAATTTTGCACCGGTTTATTTTCGTTCTAAACCTAAATCGACTTCCCAGGAACTAGATTTCTAATGTCAAATCCAAATCTGACAAAGCAATTTTGCAGCGGACTTGAACAACCAAGTGCACACTTCATGCCCCTTGCAGCAGAAGTGCCTGGAAGCCTAATGTTTTTGTACTCCTTGCAGCATCCATATCAGCATCGGCAGCTTGTGGATCTGCTGCACATGAGCCTCATTATCAAGCATTTGATGGCAAGAATGGAAGACAAATGAGCAGCAGCAGAATATTCTCAGGTCCCTCCAGGTGAGGGAAGCCAGAATTGTACATGCTCGAAGAGCAACAAACCCCTTGGGTGGTTGATTGAGTTACTTCATAACCGTGACATTCGATGCTGACGATCCAGCTCTGCAATGCTGCCAAACGTTCAGATTGATTGCTGCAAGTCTACGGCACATGGGACATCTTGGGTGGAACATCCCACCTTGGCCTTCACCGAAAGACGGTGAAAGGGCGAATGTTGTACTCCTGGTCAAAACTAGCCTTGGTCATGCGCACGGAAAGGGTGTCGTCAAAGCATAAGTCACTAAAAGAGAAGTCTGATGGCTCCTACCCACCGAGTTTGACGTCACCAAACCAGCTTGTGGGCCATGGAGCTCGGTCCACTCTATTTGCGTTGCGCTTCCCGTCGTGCTCCACGGTCTCCATGACGATAGAAAAGTGGCATGGGCAACTACGAGAGATCCCTCCCTATGCTACTCCACTGTGCTCCACTGTTTGCAGCTTCTCTGCAGATTCTTCCGGTTCCGTTGAGCTTCTCCGTCTCAAATATAAACATCTGAATTAAAAATATAAACTTATTGTGTATCCTCATGTGAACGCATGGCCTGTGCACCATGAACTCCCCATATATCCGGTGCAATATCGCCTTCAAATTCTCTTCCAGCACATCCTCGCTGGCAAAGTGGATCTAAAAGTAGGAGCAGCACAACACGAAGTGATCAACGAAGGGCGTTGCAAGCATGGCATCTCGTTCACCAGATACTCACTCCGACTACGTGTTGCAGCAAGAACTCGTACAATCAGCAGCATGGACAAGTATGGCTCCTCCTCCGCCCAATCCATGTTGTCTCTCATCATCATGTCCTCTCTCTCATGCATGCGCTAATCCTGCACACTTCCAATTGTTGCTTTGGGACTCACTGCAGGTCGTTCCTTAAAATATTGGATCACCTGCTCTCATCAAGGATCTTTAATTCGCACCATTTTCACTCTCCCTTCATAACATATTTTGCTTTATATACGATTACACAAGTATTTGTAAATGCTCTGCAATCTTATTGACCTTAATATTATCCAACTTCTAAAGGCTACTTCACACTATATTTAATTGTTTAGTAATAGACAAAAAAAATGACCATTTGGCCTTCATACTAGAGGCAAATGGCCAATAGACATTTTGGTCAAAAGTTTTGATATGGCAACACTTTGTGACAATTTTGGCACCAAGGAGTTGTTTGCTTGATAAGAAATTAGCTTGGGCATGAATGGAAACTCAATTTATAATCAAGCAAACAAGCCAAAGGTCATATTTATTATGTTTTAATAGAATTTTATATTGGTCTTTTGTCCCATTTTAAGTGGAGTTGTCTAAGGTCCACATGACCAAAAGGCCATAGTGTAAAATTGCACTAATAATCTTACTATAATTTTTTCAAAATTAAATGAATCCTAAATATAAATCATTAAATTTAAAATCCAATAAATCTTAATTTTAACTTCAAATTCTACATC